CTGACTCCTTCCAGAGATTGAGGAATTCTTTCAAGCAAGTCTACCTGAAAGACAGCTCTGTGATTAAAATTGTGTGGTTTTTTTTTCTTAACAACTTCAGATTTTTTTTTTTTAAATATATTCTTAGCAATAGGTGCTGTTTCTATGTATGTAGTACAAGCCAGTGCATTCTTAGGCCTAAACTCATTCAAATTCCTATTGCTAATAATATCCTGTTGCTTAAAAGTAATTTATTTAGTCTCAAATAGAAGAATAAAACTTAAGTTTTAAGTTAAGAAATTATTTACCTAAATAATTTAGAGTAAGTTAAGGAGGTAAAAAGAAAAGCTTTGACCTTTGTTACAGAATTTCATTTCTCGACTCCTCTGGTATGTTTTATTTCAAATCAGTGTCCCAGGGTATGTCTATAGTGTGGTTGACAGTGCCCAGTGGAGTAGCATGTGTGCTCTTTCTGCAGTTGCATCTTTTAGTGCAAGGTAGTAATCTTGGAGTATGGAGTAATCTTCCTAGAAACCTCATGTTCCACTCTTGACTGGATAGATTTGGTGAAATGCAGCAGTAAGAAATAATGAGATTTAGGTTGTGTCAGAAAAAATATACAGGTTTTGGCTAATCCAAAGGACTGGGGCCTGGAGCACATTTCCCTCCCTGCTAGGAGTTGAGCTGGTGGTTCAAGGCCAGTGTGCTGATAAGACCTGTTATGGAGGAAGAGCTGCTAAGAAGCCTCGGTGGGGGCTCTCCCTTGTTTCTCTTGGGAGCTGTTTTTAAGCCGAGATTCTCCTGGCTGGCCCCCACCTTTCCTACGTTGCAGCTGTGTTGCAGCTCTGTCTGTGCCTGGTCTCATACCTCCCTGATTCCAACTCTAACCTGCAGACTTGACTTTCTGGCTTGCCCTTGGACCTGTCTCATCGCTATGGATGTGCTGGGTGATCACCAGGCTGTCGCTGACCCTGGTCACTGCCTCTGGACTGACTCTTGCTTGCATACCTGACTTGCCTCCTTGTCCTACTGCGCCCTTGCTGTTTCATGACACAAAGCGGACAAGGAATAGACAAATTCACAAAAGAAATTCCCGTTTATAGCATAGCAGCAATTTGTCAAAAGAATGCATTAGCAGGTTACAGGTGTCAACCCCAGAACCACTGAGTCAAAGGGAGTGCTCATGGTCCTCTGTACTGCATGCCAGTAGTTTTAACAGTTGTTCCAGGAAATGGGTGATTGCTACTTAGACTTAATTAGATCTTGAATTTTTGAAAGTCCATGCAATAATTCTAATAAGGAATTCTCTGTTGAAGAAGAAAAGGGGAGGAGGAGCATTGAGTACCTTCTGTAACTCTCTAGACTCATCTAGTTAAATGACAAATACTTACTTTTCTAAGGGTTATTGACAGAATACTGTGCATGTTGTTTTGTTTTTTGAAAATGCCAGGTACTGCTTTCACATTTTACCTGGGGAAATGCTAGTCATGTCACGTATTTTAGACTGCTTTTTCACTCATATTTAATACTTTTTGCTTTTTTTTTAATAGCTTTCCATTGAAATTGGAACAGAAGTTAAAAACCAAAATAAAATGTTATCAGAAATGGTAAGTGTTTAGTCACTAACTTTCTTTAAACTTGAGGCAGGATTAAGAAATTAGTAATGTAAAGCATTCCTTCTTTTAGTATGGACATTTGTATTAAAATGTTAACAGCTTATGGTTAACTGTGAAATGTGACTAATTCAGCAGTAATATTTCTGTTCAAAAGGATAGATGTGTAAATGTCTGGCTTCCAAGGCACAACCAAGGTTTTTATACTTCAGATTTGACTATTAGTTTTCAATTAGCAAATGTATAGTATTATTAAAAAGGCAGTTCTATATTTAAATGTATGTAAGAATAGAAGAAGGAAGCAAGAAATAAGGAAGTCAGAAATGCCTTTTTTGCTTGTGTCCATCTGGATAAATGGGTGAAAGTTTTTCCTCGTTAATTTTCAGAAATTGCCTCTGAAATAATTCTAGTTTTGGAAGACTTGAAAAAATAGGAAAAACTACACTTAGCAAGCTTTAGGGGTAATTTTTTTTTCTCAGAGTAACATGTTTTTTGTTGTTCTGTTTCTCTTTAAATATAGGATAATGATTTTGACTCTACTGGTGGACTTCTAGGTGCAACTATGGGCAGACTGAGAACACTCTCCAGAGGAAGCCAGACAAAGCTATTATGCTACATGATGCTCTTTGCATTGTTTGTTTTTTTTGTAATATACTGGATTATTAAACTGAGGTGATGCATGTTATCTTTGGTTTAAATTGTGTAATTTCAACTATAAAGCAGTCTTAATTAATGAACACATTGATCTAAAGTGGCATATTCTGTTGATAAAACACAGTGAAATTGTTGTAAATTGCATTAACTATTAATGCAATGCTATATATAGTTTTCTTAATGTATCAGAATTTTTCCCATTATCCCCTGTTTTGGGGGGATTATTTGTAGATATATAGAAACTGCTAGCATAGTAGGTTGCTTTTTTTTAGGGGAAAATAGTTTTTAGAATTGATTTAAAAAATACAGAAAACAGTGGTGGTTTGGATATGAAGTAATTGCAGAATTGCAAGGCTTTCTCTTTCATTTTGCTTTTCATTCTGCACCATGCTCTAAATTAGAGCTCCAGTTTCAAGCATATAGTAATTTCTATGTTGCAAAAGCATGAAGAATACTTGGATCTTTCTAAATTGGTTTTATCTGTGGGTTTTTAAAAGGCTGGCCTAAAGCTAACAAATGTAATAGTGGTACCCCCAAAAATTATTTTTGTGGATAGGTCTGATAGTGTGTGTGTTTAAGTAGCTTAAACTGTGTGTTTTGGGGAGAAGTTACTTAAAACTGGATTTTTTTAAAGTTTTGTTTAAATGTGACAAATCATGCTTACTTTTCTAATCTTTTAAGCAAATGCCTTTGATCATTGGCATCGACCAATATGGACAAAGTACAAACGTTTTCTTTATATTTAAAGTATCTAAAACTTAATGATTCCATTGAATCACTAGAACTTTTACTGTTAGTATGTTGACTTTTCAATCTGTGATGATCCCTAAATCTCCACTGCATCATGTCTGAAATACTACGTCAGATATTTTGAATTTTATATTAAAGTATATTATGATGCACCTGTTGGAGGTGCTGTCATATGAAGGTTTTTTTATTTTGAAGACAGCTTTGGCTTACCAAATAGTTTCTAATAGTTTAACATTCAAAAAATTAAGTTTCCTAGATATTGAAATTGTATGCACAATTTTTGAGGAACTTTTCTAGAAATACTGTATAATGTGTTGCCATTAATAACTAATTACAAACTGACAAATAAAGTGTCCTGTAGTATTCTAGCTAGTGTTGATGTATACATTCTTTTTGACTCTAGAATAACAATGTATTTTTTGGAAATAGTGCTGCATTTAAAGGACTATACTTGTGTGGGGAGCATGATTAAGATGTGGAGGTGTATGCTGCATTTCTTTCATGTTAGAAGTGTAATATGTAAATCACTTATCTAATACAAAACACACAGAATGTAGAAAAAGTTATTAAAGCTCAAGTATTTCTAATCAATTTAATCTTTGACTGTTAAAAGGTCTACAATACTTCTACAAGTAACAGAACATCTAAGTACTAACAGCAGGATAACGCATCCTCTTTATATGAGAATTGCTAGGCTTGTTAAACAAGTATAGCATTCCCAAAGCTAGTCGATAGGATACAGTTTGGCATCCAAAACTGATGCACTTGTATAATTTTGATGAGATAGCAGAGTGCAAGGTACCTAACAAGTGAGATGATAATTACTGACATACCTGTTTGACAATCTCACTCCCTGATAGTTGATCATCTTCTAGAAATGTATTTCTGGCTCTTAAAGATGGTGACTGAACAATTTGTAGCTTTTTTTTTTTTTTTTTAGCAATCTGCCGTACCAATAAATGGAAAAAAGTTTTTAACTACCTGATATAAAGTAGACAAATGGGTGGATGCAGCTGGTTATATGGCTGGTACCCTTCCTGTCTTTGTTCTGAAAAATATGCTAGGGTGTCCCTTAAGTCTTGACAGAGCACGTATTGGTAAAAGATTTTTACCAGTCCTTCAGATCATGTATAAAAAGCAACAGGGTTTTCTTTTTAAATGTCAAACCAGATTAAAAGGTAATTAATGCAGAATGGCAACTAGGTCTTCTTCCTTCACCCCCCCCCCCCTTCTTTAATGGTGCAGAGGAGTGAGGGGAAATGATCTGAGAGGTGGTGTACCATCTCATTTAAGTAGTAACACACAATTTTCATATTAACATCAGTTTTAAAAATATTTTTCTTTAATAATTACACACAAAACATGATACTCAGATACAATTAAACAGTTGCTTGTAGAATTCTACTTTGTAAAATGTAAAATTCTATTAAATTTTATTAAAAAAAAAAATCAACCCCACTCCTACAACCAAACATCCATGACAGCATATTACAAGTCGATGTGAACTTGGCAAAGATGACAGAGCTCATTTTGATGGTTACTTGCTAAAATTGAAATATAGGGAAGGTACTCGTAATTGAGAGCAAAATCACTGTTCCAGTATTTGAATATGGCAGGGAATAATTTGTGCCATGATTACTGATGTTGAAAGCAAAGTTACACTGAAATTACATTAGGCTACTAGTGAAATCATAGCTGTATCCATACAGAACTTATGCTTCTTAACTGGTGGCTTAGATGCTCTAAAATGTAGACATACCTTGATTAAAGAAGACATTTTTTTCTGGGTGCTTAGTGTGGATCACTTGACCCCCAAAAAAGTAACCCACTAAGACGAAGGAAAAAAATTTGCAGGAGATGCTTTCAGACTGCTTTGTATCTACAGAAATTTGATATTGGGGAATACATAGAGTAATAATTGTCAAAGACCCTGATAAGCAGTTCATTGGCAAAATTACTGTTGTTTTCTACTCATTCTACCCTTGAAACAGGTACTGGCTGCTACCTTCAGTGTGCAGTACAAGCCATGCTCTTGCTTAATTTTCAAGGACGAGTGGAGATGCATCACTTGCTTGGAAGTGTTTCCATGTATTTGCATATGATGGAAAGCATGGTTTCATCTGTACCACCTCCTATGGAAACTAATCTCAAGTCTCTAGAAATATAAAGAGTAGATTTAAACATTTGCATGCTATAGAGATGGAACAAGTACAGAACTTTACATACTCATTTATTCTATGAATTTATTATGGAGCTGCTTTTATTACATTGAAACATCTTGTTTACAGAAGTACATATGTGGTGTGGACAAATGTGTTGTCAGCACCATAAATACCCTTTAGTGTACAAGGATGTTGCTAATTGAGAATCAAAAGGCTTAAGATTTTGGCACATCCAATTTTCAGATTCTTTCAAAAATAACCTTAACTTGGCATAACACTGTATTTTCATCGTGAAATAAGTTAAAATCTTTCCTACCCCACAACCACCTCCACTTAAGCCCAGCCAGACCTCCTGCAGCTGAACTCCATACAGACTTCTGTTTAGGTCTTACCGCTTTGGACTGGCATATAAATCATCACAAGCTCTTCCCAGGGTTTTCTGCTGGACTGCCTGCTCAAATTACCTACACGTTGCATACTAATGCGGTTGTCTGCAGAACACCTCATCCACTGCCTCCTCCTGGTGAGGCAGTCTGGAATACTTCCCGCAACATCCCTGCTGTTCCTTTGCCAAAGCTGTAGGTGCCTAAGCCTGCAGCTGAACTTTAGGAGAGGAGGAAGCTTTTGGAGGGCCAGCAGCAAAAAGTGTTGCAGCACTTAACTTCGCTTAACTGTGTGGTAAAAAGAGTATTAGTCAATCAGTACATGAGGTATTGAGAAGGTACAATTTTCATTCAAGTTTTTTAACCAACAAGCACCCTGGTCTCCCTAATGGCTACGTGAGATCTGGCATACTCCATGTTAGTACTATATAGTAGTATAGTATAGTATTTATACTCTGCAGAGTATACAGTATTATAGTGTTATATAGTATATAAAGCTGCTCTGCTTTCAAAATGAATGGCTGCTCCAAGCTTATTTACTTTTGATTCAATATTTCTAATCACAGTCACTTAAAAACTGCCATTAATATCACTAAGTCATCCCTAACAGTATTGCCTAAGCCCCCCGTGCTAACCAGATTGCAAACTACTGCAACCTTAAGCAATTTTCTTCACAATTTTTTTTTCTCCTTTGGGGAGAAGAAAAAAAAATCCACCAAACCAAAACACTGAAACAGTTCTGCTAAACTCCCTCTACTTAATTCAATAACCTGAAGATTCCCCAACTTCCTATGGGCCTTCCTGAAGGTAGCGGAGCTGGAACAATGGCAGGTTACTTGTTCTTCGTGCTGCGGTGCTGTCTGCTTCTTCAAGCTGTAGACAGCCCCTGCCAATGCTTAGCATCTTGCATGTTCAGAGCACTGTAGCAACAGTAAGTAATTATCCTAAGGACTCCTCTCTGATGCCGATAAAAATAATTTATTTGTCGCAGGAATCCTGGGCACATGTGGCTTGTTTATATGAGGTTATAAATAGGCAGTGGTTTGGTGGTGTGTGACAGACATGTCAGGTTATCACATATAAATACATGTTTTAAACAACTGAAACACCTTTTACGTAGGTTTTTGTGTGTGTGGATACATATATACATATGTGTGTGTGTGGCTTTACAAAATTGCCGGTGATTATATTTTTGTGTTTATGGGTGAGATATAGGAGATTTCCTACAGAATCTACAGTCGGGCGACTAATGCCAACCTCTCCCCCAGGGTAACAGGACTAGGTTTCACCTACTAAAAAAGGATTGAGAGGATCCCTTCACCCTCTAATTTACAGCCTGAATGTGTCCGTGAGTAGTATAATGCAGGACAGTCCTTCGGTTTAACATTCCTCTTGGCTGGTGTTGACTCCTCTGCATCCAGAGTGCCATTCAGCCCTTGTTTTGCATAAGGCAAGCCATGTCCATCACCCTGCCTGTAAACCTTTTGGTCCCAGTTATTCTGAAAATCAGGGCTGGTCCTTGCTCCAGTCTGAGCTCTCCCTTGTGTGCAATTTCACTCGCCATGAAGTAGGGACAGGAACCTATCTCACAGCGCAAGGAAAGCTTTTGACCTTGTAACATTATAGGTGCTAAGGCTGCAGCTAATGGCACTAATGGCACTAAATCTGTCTCTAGCCTCAAGGTGATAAAACTTGATAGTGTTTGCAGTTGTGCATCCCACTGCCATTTACTGCCTGCAGCCGAGAAGCCGTGCCTGAGCAGGGAGCTGCTCGATGCTGCATTTTCCTCATGAAAGCCATATGGCGTTGGGATCTAAAAAACCCTTTCTGTTCATAAACACCCTGCGAGGAGCCTGCTGCACTATCTGTCTTCAATGTCTTCACATAACTTTAAAGTCCTGAGAAAATACACTAAATCATTTTCTTTCCCTTTTCCAGCAGCGATCAGTGCCGGTCAGACATGGGGAAGAAAGCAAGTTTTGGTGACTCCAGCTCTGGTTTTGCCCAGCAGCCTGGCTTCATGGCAGTGGTCCCTCAGAGAAGCTGCTCCCTGCTTCCCTGGTTAGGAGGCCATTGGTAAATCCTTCCCAAGGTCTATGTGGCTCAGAGTATCACTGCCTCCCTAAAGGCCATTTACATACTGCTTCCTTTCAGCACAAATAGCACTTGATTACAAAATGTTTACCCTTTTTTCTCACAATGACTATTTTAAAGTTGTGCTACTAGCAAGATTTTTCTCCACAAAATAAAATGTACCCTCAAGTTTAATATTTTGTGACTTCTTCCATCTTCAGACTCAGCTAGATTGCTTATAGGCTGTCCAAATGAAGCAGCACCTAAAGGAGACTGATGCAGGAGAAGTCTGAGCTGAGACTCGCAGGACGGCAGGCCCCTGGCCAGGCCGGCACAGCCCTGTCTGCCATTTCGCAGGGCCTTGCCCGTTTCCCCTAAGGGCCATTCTGAAGGGACAGCTGAGCCAGAGTGGGCATCACCTTAGCCAGTTCTGGAGTGTGGCTCTGCTTTGAAGTCATCACTGTACAGATACCCACTTTGATTTGCCATATTAGAGCTACATGTTGTGCTTCATCTCCTACATTCCCTCTCAAGGTACTCGTAAAAGTCAAAGGGGTAGACAGGGACCTGTCTCAAAACCTCTGCAGAAAAAAGTTGAAACTACAGATTTGTTTTCACAGATGACTGAGGAATTGTTATTAAGTCTTGTCCCAGCAGTTAGCTACTGACTTCAAAGCAAATTGCTTTTGTCAGCAGAAATTGATAGGTTTTGTTTTGTTTGGTATAACCATAAATTGTGATAATGACAAAGACTGATTAAAAAAACCCAATTGTCGAGACTCATTCTAGCTTAGACATGCTTTGTAAAGAAAGAAAGAATATAAAAAATGAAATAAAGAATGAAACTGAATAAAATATTTCAACTGACTTTTTAAACACAAGGAATACAAAAAATATCTTAGAAGGAAATGCATTACTTATTCCAAAAAATGCCACTTAAAACTATACAGATGTTTGATTTTTAACTATGCTGCATTACAAATAAAACTTCATATTAAAATACCTAGGTGACAGTTGAGGGAAAAAAAGAAATTGTTTTTCTTCTGCAGCTATGTCCATTTGCAATACTATTTACACTTTCTCTATTTCACATGAGTAGTCAATCAATATTTTTCACTACCGCTCTCTCAAGTCTTTCACAATGCAGCAAGTAAAGAAATGATAGCATTCTCCCCATCACACCCCGCAAGAGTAAAACTTGTAAGAACAGGCAGCAGTTAGACACAGTGTTTAGTACAGAGAAACAATCTTAATTTAAAAAAAAATGAAAAAAAAAAAAAAACCAAAACTTTTTTAAGAAGGACAGACAACTTCTTCCTATAACAACTGAAGTGTACATAATTACTATTAAAATACATAGATCACTACCTGAATTTTTTTTTAAAACTCATGTTATGAAATCTGAAAAATTGCAATATGCTTGCTACAAAAAGTTTTCCTCCCTCTGATCTCTCACAACCTGGGGTTTACATACAGATTGTGGGTTTGTTCAATAACTGATTTTTCCTAAGTCATGATGTCTTTGAGACACTTAATACAGGGGAGAGAAAAAGAAGCACAACTCCAGTCTGGTGCTGTCCTTCTCCAGAATCCTGCTAGTAGGGTAAAGTCTGGAAAGTCTGCTCTTACTATTTTTGTATTGAGTTGTATTTTTCTATTAAATCCCTTGTTATTTGGGCTCCAAACTTTTTTTTTTAAACCTGTTCTCCTTCTCAGAATCCCTACAACTGAAAACGAGACATTTACATATATAAAATCAGCCCAGTATAGGCACCTACATGGTGAACAGCTACTTTTATGCCTTCTAGAGAATACTACACTCTAGAAAAGTCAGTTGTTCTACAAAGTTTAAAGCCTAATGATTAAAATGACAGATGTGAATAAAGTAATTTGGCAGACAGTTTTGTGTTGGGTCTGTTTATTATCTCCCCACCAACACTAATAACTAAAATTCAAAGACTTCATGCACTAACCATGCATTATGCTGTGTGCTCTTTGAGGAGTAACAGCCCAACATGTGTCAAACACTAACATTTCCTTGGAAACTTGGTAAGGATTATGCTACAAAAATCTTTGTACATTATGAGTAGATGTCATGCTGTGCAGTTACACTGCTTGCTACTTGACAAATAGCACAGTGACATGAATGGTTACTCAGACTGCTGTACAAAAAATAATGGCGTTAGGAAAGTTGCTGCTTTGCTTATCATTACAGATCAACAAGATTCTGACTTGAACCCATAATTGTTTATTTAGGTAATACTCTACTCCTCCCTTCTGGAGAAGGTTACTCAATGATGGAATTTTACTGATTCACAGAAAATTTTAGAGTATAGATATCACACCACCTTTAGCCTCATTTATTACAGTGTTTGTTTTAGAGGCAGAAAGAGATGTTTCTTTAGCCAACTGGCGCAGTTTATACCAATTGGAAATACTCTGGATTTCTTCTCAAGAAAAATGTGACTGTGCTGGTGTACTTAGAAATCACTCTGGGATTCACACAGAAAAGCCCTGCCCACAGTCAGCAATAATATACTAGGCTAGGAAATCTAAAGACAAATCAAAGCTATATAAAAGCACATACACATTAATCTGTACACATTACTACATTGACAGTAAGCGCTTCAAGACAAGGATTCATTTTATTCAGAGTGCCTACTGCAGCAGCTTTTAAAATCTGTATCACCAGGGGCCATTAGCTCCTAATAAAGAGGCTGTGAAAAAAATAACTAAGAAAAACCATCATATTGATAGCTGGCTTAAAACCACCACCATACAGCACTCTGTACCTTCACCAGAAAATTTAAGGAATCCCCAAGTCAAAAAAGGTTGAGGAACTCTCTGACTTACCACAATGGCATTCTTGTTCATAAAATGCTGTTAAAAATAGAGAAAGAAACTCAACCTACTAAAAAGAAACAAGCGTTTTACAGATTTTTTAAGTGTTCTGCTCTCACTTTGCACAGATACTTTTACCAAAACTTTCAACTAACCGAACCACTAACTAATTTTGCTAAGCTTTGATTAGGTATCATACATATAAGGGCTGAACTGAAATCTATTACTACAAGAAAATGCAAGTTCCATTTTGGTCCTTCTACAGAATATAAGATACTGGGACCAGAATTTTCCTAACAGCTGCCAAGAAAATTGTTTGCTTCGAGAGAATTTTGCTTTCAGTAGATATATGGTAAAATTTGAAGGGTCTTTAATTAATTTGCAAAAAGGCCTCTGTACCATTTTAATAATCTAACAACTTGCTGGAAGCAAGGGATCTCTCATGTATCTCACGCGGTAACTGGTGTGGCTGATGAGGTGGAGACTGCTATACAAAAAGTCTACTGCAGGAGCCCAGCAGAGAACTCCAGTTTCACACATATACTTGGGGAAAAAGATAAGGCTGATATTCATTGGTTTTGGAAGAGAGCTGCTGTTTTGTTTTAGTTCTGTTCTTGCAATCAAGACTACAAGCAAATGAAGAAAAACAGAAAAAAACCCAACAAAACACCACTTGTTTGGTAGGCTCCCCCTTTTTCCCTTGTCCTATTGTCTGGCAGGTACCAGATGACCATGAGGTAAAACACAGAGTTTACTTCTTTCACCTGACATTCAAGCTGACCTGTGGGTATTTCAAACTACACAGTTGTAATGCAAAGCCAAAAATTTGGCAAAGGAGCAGTCAGCCTATGTCCTGACACACACATGTCATCCCAAAATCAATGGCACTGTAGATGCCCTCGCATCCACAACGCACATCAGTGGAACAATACCATTCACACTGCCTAGGAGCTGGTGCCCTTTTCAAGTGGGTGATCTTTTAGTGGGGCACTTAAGAGGCCAAATTTCAGTAAAGCCGTTTTCTATTTTCACCTTACCTGTAAAACCTGCTCACCAGAACCTCACTGGTGAATCCCATTCCTCCCCAAAACTGGAGACAGCTATCAGTCACTTCACGGGCCAGACGACCTGCCTTTAGCTTAGCCATGGCGGCAAATTTTGTCACATCATTGCCTTCCACATAGAGCGCTTAAAAAAAGAAAAAGAAATAAAAAAGCACAGTTACACACACTCAGTCATTGATTGCAGCCTGCCTCTCTGGTAATCACCTCCCTATGTTCCTTTAGCCTGACAACGTTCTTTGCATGCAGAGAAGCACATCTGGAAAGGCAGATGTGGGAGCTCACCAACGGTGCGGTACAGCAGCGAGCGAAGGAGCTCCACTTCGGTTGCCAGCTCGGCCAGGCGGAAGTGCACGGCTTGGTTGTGCAGGACGGACTGGCCAAACGCTTTCCGCTGGCGAGTGTAGTCAATTGTTTCTTCTATTATAGTTTGCAGCGGTGTCAGGACTTGAAGAAACAAAGCACAGAACAACGCATCATTTTAGCTAGATCTGTTGTTTTTCTTCTTATTGAAAAAGATGGTTTTTTTCACATTGTACAAACAATACATTAAGTTTTCCAAAGTAAATTATACCATAAGCTCAGTTTGAAGTGCAGTTTGAATTCTGAAAAAAACCTGCTACCTCCTTGTACCTTGAAGACCTCTTTATCCCTATTTCACCTGGGCCCCAAACTGCCAAAACTGGGAGGAGAGTGAAGGGGGGGTGGGGAGGAGGGAAGGAAAGTCATAGAGAGAAGTATGTAATGATGAGTATATAAACTTTATCCTTAATGCCTCATTTGAGGCCCTAGCAAAAGCTTGTGGCAGCTCCTGCTTTCCATGTTACCTGTGTCCTGAAGGTCTGTTACAATCCCGATAGAAAATTTGAAGGCAGACAGTGTGCTCACTGAGGGATGCTGTAGAAATGTAAATGTAAGGAAGCTTTTAGGGAGAAGGTAGAAACCTATTCAGAGATCAAGGAACACGAACAGACTGCTTACTATGTCTGCATTCTGTGATCAGATCCCAGCACAGAAAGGAAGGGAAAAACATTAAGATTCACAGCCACTTTTAGTAAATACTAAACAGTGCTTCTAATGGAAACAGAATCAATAAAGGATAGTGCTGGAAGACAAGTGAGGGAGATGGCAGACACTGCTTTAAAGCAACAGAACTGTTTGCTACTTCTTGAGCAAACTTAGAGACCCTGCTTTAAACAAGAAGTGAAAAGTTTCTTTTCCAAGGCAAACCAGCCTTGAAGTGAAGTGCTAGGTTATCAGTCTCTTGCAGTTTAGCTAGAATAACAGCAGCTGCTGAATTTGTGGAGAATTTTGTTTGGCAAATGTGGACCTATGTCACTGTGGCAAGCAGTCGGGAGAGGGAGAGAGTTCACAAATCTATCCGTATGAGAAGGGTTGCATTTTCTCTTCTCAAAATATGTATATCCAAATGCACTCACATTTAGAATCTAAACCACAAAATTCTGAATCTGAAATGCAAAATACAACCAAGCGCTGGACTACTACAAAATCCCTTTTCCCACCCGCCAGTTACTCACATGACAGTTCCTTACAGGAGCCTGGTGTGCTTCCATATTCCTTTTTGCATTGCTTTCAAGATCACCTCTATCTAAACATCATCCCTACACTGAGCTCATATGCAAGCTTTGCATCCCACCAATTGCCCCCTGCCATGATCATTCACCAGCTTTTCCACAGAGCACTTTTTTCATATGCTGTCCCCACATTCAGTAACGTGATCAGCTTTTCTCATTCCTTAAATATTTTCCCCTCCTTTCTCAAACTAGCCTCAATGCTTATTTTTCAAAAGAGCATATACAATAACATCCTTATTTCTTCTGTGTTAATACACTATGCTGCCACCCTAATGCTGGTTTTCTGGACAAGAAAATCAATTGCTGCTTTCAGGGACATCTCTTATGCAGAGGAACATCCCTGTTCTTCCAAAGGACAATGTAACACAACACTGTAGCACGTATAACACTAACGTTTTTTTCACTTGTGTGTCTATGGTCTCCAGCTTGAGAGATGCTAAAGAAAGAGCAAGTGTCTAGGCACCTCTTGTCCCTTGCCCCCAGGCTGATAACCTGGGAAGCATACAGCTGAGTCTGAGCTGCTGGGAGGGAAATTAAACAGTACATGCCAGTCAGTGCTAGGAGAGCAGAAGGGAGGTGGGAAGGATAAGGACAAGGGATTAATCTTGTGTTGGTCTGTCGGAGCAAGATGCTCCCGCATGGCTCGTGTGGTTCCCAGCATCCAACACCAGGGAGAGAAGAGACGGGAAACAGCAAAGAGGAGGCAGGAGCAGGACCAGGTGGGAAGGAAGAGAACAGCACTTATTTAGGTCCTGCTTGTAAAAGAGATGAAGATCATGATTCTCCCCCTCCACTCCG